CCAAGAGGGCTCCCAGAGGGACCCAAGAGAGGCCCCAAGAAGGGCCCAAGAGGGCCCTCCGCGGTGTCACTTTCAACGCCCGTGAAAATGACACCTCCCAGGGCCCACTTAGGGCCTCAGAAAAGCTCTAAGAAGGCCCCGAAAGGGCCATAGAGAGCCGCCCTGGGTTCAACTCCGCGTGGCGGAGTTGGAAGCGATAACTTCAATACCCTACTGGAGGCCTCTTAGGGGCCCTAAGACGGCACTGAAGAACCCCATCGGGGCTTTTTCAAAGGCAGAGGAGGGCGCAAAAAGGGGCCTCAGTGAGCCCCTGGTCTAACTCCACCTGGCGGAATTGGAAGCGATATCGCCCGGCGCCTTCATGGAGCCGCTCGGAGCTTCCAAGACGGCTCCAGAAGGCCCCAGGAGGGCCCCAAGAGGATCGAACGACGATTCCTGGAAGTGCACCAGTGAGACCCTTGTTGACCTCCGCCTGGCGGAGTTGGAAGCGACAATTTCCAGTGCCCTCTTGGGGCCTCTGGGGGGCCCCTCAGAAAGCTTTGGGGAGCACAGTGAAGGCCTTCGCAGGGCCGCGTGAGAGCCGTACCAGGGCCGCATGTGTGCGCGGATGGGGGCGACGAGTGCTGACGCTGACGAATATGAGAATGATGAGGGCGATCAAGGCTGGCCCGAAACAAATCCTGGCGCCATTGCAGGCCGCCGATTATCGGCCACGCCGCCAGGACGACGCCAAGCAACAAAACGACACCAACCAACAAACCGACACCAACCAACAAACCAACAAATCGACACCGGCCAACAAAAGGACACCAAGCAACAAAACGACACCAAGCAACAAAACGACACCAACCAACGAAACGACACCAACCAACAAAACGGCACGAATCAACAAAACGGCACTGACCAACCAAACGACAAATCACTTCACGACACCAATGAACAACGCGAAATCCACCGACCGCCAACCAAGCATAAAATCAACCGACACAACGAAACCAACCCATAGAGCCAGACCAACCACTGGATTCGTGAGTCGGGGTAGTCATGGAAGTGAGCCGCTGCAGCCCGCGGAAGCCATTAACAGTGACCAGAGCACCGCAATGCAGCAACGTCCCCGGGCGGCGGCGGGAGTCTTGGATCTCCCGCGGGACTGGAGCGTAGCGAGTTCGTCCTGGGTCCGGTTTAGTGAAGTGAAGAATTTCGGGGTGCTTGCATGGCAAAAACCTTCACTTCACTAATCTGGGGCCCCTGGAGCCCCAGGGCGTTTCAGGTCCCCTCGCTGTCTGGGTAGTCCAGGGGGCGCAGTGGCGGCTTACCAGAGGCCCTGTTCCCTAGCCTCACTTGCTTTCACCCGTGGTGCTCGACGGCCGTCTCGGAGCTGTCTTGTGGCGGTCTGGGGCAATCCCGAAGCCTCTTGGAGCCATCCCAAGGCCCCAAGGCGCCACCAATGGGGGCCCCAAGAGAGCTCCCAGAGGGCCCCGAAAGGCCTACAACAGATTGCACGTTCGCGCGAATTCTTTGTACCACTTTGGGGGGTCCCTCTTGGGGCCCTCGGGGAACGTTCTTGGGGCCCTCCGAGGGCCCACTGGGGCCCCGGGAAGGCCCCAAGAACGCTCCCAGAGGGCCCCAAGAATGCTCCAAGAGGGCCCCAAGAGGACCCCCACAAGTGACAAAAACTATTTGCATGAGGGTGCAACTTACTCGGCGCCTCTTGGGGCGCTCTTGGAGCCGTGCTGGGCGCCACTCGTGGACGACATGGGCTGGGCGACGGCATGTGGACCCTGTCGCTTGGGCCATCGGGGGTGCTCCCCAATGGGGCCACGAAGCTTGTGAGCGTATGACGGAATGGGCTGGGCGGCGGCCTGTGGGCCCTGCCTGTGGGGCCGTCGGTGTAGCTCCCCGTGGGGCCACGAAGCGTGTGAAACGTATGCCGAAATATGCTGGGCGGCGGCCTGGGAAACCTGCCGCTGGGACCTTTTTTGGTGGAGCTGCCTATAGGGGCACGAAATGTTTGAGGGTGTCATCAATGTGGCCTGGGCGACGGCATGTGGACCTTGCCGCCGGGACCTCCGATGAGCTCCTCATGGGGACACGAAGCGTCTGAGGGGCGTGCCGACATGGGCTGGGCGGCGCACTAAGGACCCTGCCGATGGGGCCTTCGGTGGAGCACCTCACAAGGCCACGAGACTTGCGGGGGATGTGGCGAAGCAGAGACGCGGGGGAACAAGGGGGGTGTTTTGATGATGTTGATGAGGATGGTGGTGGTATTGATGATGGAGACGGCGAGAATGCTGATGATGCTGATGATGATGGTGATGGCGACGATGACGATGGACGATGACGACGGAGACACGCGGAGAGCAGGGGCAGATACGCGAAGAGGGAGGACGAGGGAGGGGGCCGGAAGGAATGACGCGGGGCGGTGTCTCTTCAAAACGAAGAACCAACACTGCAATATGGTAGGAAATTTCTGGACGACCCCCCCCGTGGCGCGGTCAATGTCCGCGACAGCATCGCTGGCACTACGAACAAAATGATCGAACTCTTCCTGCGACGTTACCCGCGGGGTGGATAAGCCAGGGATGGGGGTCGAAACCGCCCCAGCGCAAAGCAAATGTACAATCCTGAGAAACCCCAGCCCACATCAACCGATCCGCAACAAGCACGCAAGCCTTTGACGACCCCAACGCACGTGACATCGCATAACGCGACGCGCAATCGAAAACGTTCGACGCGCTGCCTCGGAATGACATCGGGCTTCATGGAACGTCGAATGGACAACATGAAAAACCGCCCTGTGGGCTCCGAGACCCAAAATTACTGATGTGAAGGATTTCGGCTCGTCGACTTGATGGATCTCCTGCCAGATGGCCCCAAGATGGCCCCCGAGGTGTCCAGCTGTGCCCCAAGACGCCCCCAAGAGGTTCCCAGGAGGCACCAAAAGAGGCCCCAAAAGAGGCCCTCGAGAGACCGCCAAGATGCCCCCAAGAGGCCCCCAAGAGACCCCCAAGAGGCCCCAAGAAGCTCCCCAGAGGCACCCAAGACGCCACAAGAGGCCCCGTGGACTGCCAAAAGACCCCCAGGACATCCCAAGAGACCCCGCCGTCGTCGTCCCCCTTCAGGGTCGGTGGCACTGGCCGCAAGGCTTCCGCAGCAAAAGAGAAACGACGCGGACAAGAAGAACACACCGTGAGGGGTCAGGGATCCGCCAGCCCCCTTGCTGGGCCACTAGCCTGCGAGGATGAGGATTGCAGCTCCCTGTTCCACCTGCAGCTTCCAGCTTCCACTGTTGCAATCCTGGTTTCTGCCTCCATACTGTTCACTTTTGCTGTCCGCGCGAGGGGTGGGAGCCCCAAACAAATTGTTTCACCACGCCCTGGGAAGGTGTTCGAATTCGCGGGGGGCGTGGGACACGCAAAAATGCATGATGTTCGCGTCCCCGAGGCCAGAATCCTTAGTAACTTACACTATATTCTCGTCCCCGAGGCCGTAAACACTCGTAAAGTACGCGATAGTCGCATCCTAGAAGCCATAACCCCTGTGAATTACGCGTCCCCGAGGCCACAAAGCTTTCTGACAAAGTATACACGATTCGCGTCCCCGAGGCCATACAACCTACTAGATTACAGTAGATTCGCACCCCCGAAACCACAAACCCTCGAACAATACATGAGATTCGCGTCCCCAGGGCCATAGCCCTTCGCAAATGATGCAATGCTTGCTTCCCCGAGGCCACAAACCCGCACCAATTACACAAGATACGCGTCCCCGAGGCCACAACCTTCATAACTCACTCAGTGGCCCCCGAAACAATAAACCCTTGTAAATGATGCAGTAGTTGAGTCCCGAGGCCATACACACCCACACATTACACAATATTCGCGTCCCCGAAACCAGAAACCCTCATAATTTAAGCCATGTTTGCGCCCACGAGGCCACAAACCCGAGCCCACAAACCCTCATACATTATACAAGATTCGCGTCCCCGAAGCCATAAACCATTGTAAATTACCTTATCATCACGAAGCCGTAAACCCTCGTAAATTAATATTGGCCCTCGCGTGAAGTCCCAACATTGCTTCGCGTCAGCGTCCAGACATCCCAACACAGCTCTGGCAAGTCCCATTCTAAGAGAGGGGGGCCGGCGGCATGGGGGCGAATCCCTTACGGGTAACAGGGGATATGTCGACCCATATCCCAGGCTTCGTGAGGTTTTCGAATGGATTAAACCTTTGAGGCGCGATTCCCGGGATGTGCCATGGAGGGGCGTCCACCCTTGATCGGGGTTCGTCCGAGCAGCCCCCTCTCGGGTGTATCACAGGGTTTCCCTTTTTGAGCGGCTTCACTTGTCATCGTCGAAATGTCGAAGGCAAGGGGGGGAAACAAAGGACTGCGAAGGGAGCGGCGGCGGCACGTTCTCGACGCCGACGCCGCGCTGCCAGGGCCGCGGCGTCGCAGCCCCGCCGGGGCCAGGCGCGGCTTCGCCACGGGAGCGGCCGGGCGGGCGCGAGAGGGGGGGCTAGGGAGCCCACAAAGGACGTGCGCGCCCAGCTGTGTACGGCGGGTTTGTGTCGTGACGACCCTGGCGATGGTTTATGACACCGCACCGATCGTTCAACCTTGAACGATCGACGGTTTTCCGATCGCCCGATCGTTCCGTGTAGGCCGATTCTGGGCCACTGGCAGCGTTCAACCTTGAACGCCCGCAGCGGGGTCGCCGCTGGTCGACACGACACGAACCTGCCGTACATGAACACGGCCCCTCGATCTGCGAGACCGGCCGCGTGATACGAACTTTCGGGCGATGCGTACCCTCGAAACCAGCGTGGATTCGTGTACGCGTACGTCCTTCTTTCGCTCCTGAGGGGTGGATCGCCACAGGCAAATCCCAGGAAGGGAGTCGGGCAGCGCTGGTTCTTCCTCCTCCCCCTCCTCCGCCTCCTCCGCCTGCTCCGCCTCCTCCTCCGCCTGCTTTGTTCGTCCAGTACTGGCATGCGCAGATGGTGCAGCGGCTCATCGACATGTTCGAACAGCTGGACGTGAAGGTCTCCAAGGGCGTGGAGGGCAAGACGGTCACCATGGCCTCGACCACCGCGCTGCAGGACGGCCTCGCCAAGCGGGTGCGGCCACTAGGCGTCAGGATGGTGCGTCACGCGGACCACCTCGGCGTCACCACCGCAGCGGGCAGGAGACGACGAGGCAGCGCCTTCAGCAAGAGGGCCAGCAAGTATGCAGCGCGGCGAGACCGCATCGCGCGCATACGCCGTACAGGAGGCCGTGCCCAGACGATCATCAGGCAGGGCAAGGTGCCGTCGGCGATGTACGGGGTGCCGGTCATGGGCATGGCCAGCTCCACGCTGGCGCACCTGCGGCAGAGCGTGGCGACCTCCTTCAGGGGCAACACCATGGGCAGATCCACGCCGCTGGTGCTCCTCGCCGAGGACGCCGACCCAAGCATCCGCGCCAACACGGAGCCTCTGGTCGACTGGGCCCTGGCGTGGCAGGAGGTCGCCGACCAGCCAGACCTGCGGCACCAGCTCCAAGGAGAATGGGAGAGATGGGTATATCGGGTGGGTCGTGTCAAGACCCCGTGGCTACAGGTGCGAGGGCCAGCAGGAGCCTTCGCAGCGACGATCAAGAGATTGGGCTGGATCACGCAAGCAGCCCACAGCATCACCATCGGCGAGGAGGTCTTGGACCTGAGGACACTGCCGATCAAGGAGCTGAAGCAGCGTATCCGCAGGGCCACAGAGGACAGCCTCAAGCAGGAGTGGCTCAACAAGCACGGGGAGAAGCACGACCTCGACTGCCTCTTCGTCGAACCCGTGCAGGCGCTGCTCAAGAGGGCGCGGACAGGCCGGTGGACACTAGAGCGCCAGACGAGAGTGCGCAGCCTGTGAAGCGGAGGCACATGGCCGCAACAGCGGCTCTTCGAAGAGGGCGCCGCGCAAGTCAACATCTGCAAGGCGTGCCAAGAGAGCGCAGGGACGGACCGCCACAGGCCCTTCGTGTGCGCGGCCCGAGACGAACATCGGAGAGCAGTCGGAGGGCACCACATATGTCACCGTGGTGCTACGAGATGGCCTGGAGCGACGGAGGCGCAGCTGGCGGCGTCCGAGGCGCTCTGGGGGCGGGGCCTGACTCCAGACCCCGCGAAGGAGTTCAACCTGTGGGACCTGCCCACCATGGACACCAGCGCCGTGGAGGGCGAATCCATCGGCTTCGTGCAAGGGGACGTCTACACCGACGGCAGCTTGCTGTACGGGGAGTGCCTAGTACTTCGGCGAGGAGGCTGGGTTTTCGTGCAGCTGGACGCTGAGCACGAGCTGCGGTACGCCATGTTCGGCCCGCTCGAGGGGCCACAGAGCGTCCAATCGATCTACAAGAGCGAGCTGGTCGCGATCGCCAAGGTCCTCGAGCGGGCCTGCCCGCCTGTCAGGATCTTCTCGGACTGCAAGGCCGTGATCGACGGGTTTGAGAGAGGGCCCGCCTGGGCCGCGCGCGCGGACACAGCCCACAAAGATGTATGGCTGCGCTGAGGAGGCTCGTAGCCGAAAACGGAGGGATAGGGACGCAGGGAATCACGTTGCACGAAGTGAAGGCACACGCCACCAGGGCCCAAAGGGCTCATAGGGGGCCACAGATTTTCATAGGGAATAAACTCGCAGACGCCCACGCAAAGCGAGGGGCACAGAGGAATCCACACGAGGCCTGGCACAGGGCCGCATACATTCCGAGATACAGACTGGTTTCAGGCATCCTGGAATTCGCCGCACGAGTCGGGGTCCTCGGACGTGGGCTCGGGGACGCCTCCGAGAGCACTGGGCCCCGCGGGGCCCAGGGTCGCCCCGCCCCCCCGACGCCCAGTGGAGGAAAGGAGGTCCCCACGGGTCTCCCACAGCCGCCACCTGGCCCGCGGTCGCCCCCCCCCCCCCCCCCGGAGCCCCCCGTGGTGCTCGGAGGAAGGATCCAGAGGCCTAAGCCGAAAGCCACCAGACGGTGTGCCTGCCGAGAATAGTATGATGTCGGAGGTGTGCCAGTTACGCCAGGGACCGATGGACGGGTTTGTGTTCCAGTTGCCCTGGGGGTAATCCTAGGGTCGCAGCTGGGCGTTTACACCGTGTGTGGCAAGGCAAGCACCCCACCACGAATCAGACTCTCTGAGGCCCTTGATTGCCCAGGACAGGCCTGGGATGACGGGTGCCTCGTAGGGTTTCGTCGCCGCGCCCTCGGCCGCCTCGACAAACCGACCGCGAGCGAATCCTCAGCGAATCCTCCGCCTGCGTCTCCTCCTGCTCCTCCTCCTCTGTTTCCCTCTCTGTGTCTCCCTCTGTCTCATCATAATGTTCCTCTTGTTCCTCATGGTTTCCCTCCTCTTCTCTCGTTTCCCTCCAACTGTTCCCCCTCGTTTTCTCATCCTCCGCCTCCGCCTCCGCCTCCGCCTCCGCCTCCGCCTCCCCTGCCTCTTGTTAGTCGTGGCATTTGCATCCGTATTAGTATTAGTTGTAGTAGTACTCCGATGCTTGATAGTATTCGTACCATGAGTAGTGGCAGCAGCATAGGTAATACTATGATGAAAATTAAGATTGGTAATATTGGCATTAGAAATGACAATATCCTTCGCTTGTTTATATTGGCACTACTCGTATAAAAAAGACAAGGGATGAGGAGCCGTACGTCGACTAGCACTCATAGCATTATTCATCTTACCTGGGTATGACCCTGCCCTTGATTTAACTACATGCATTCTAGACATAAATATATATATAATAATGATACGAACCTAGTTTCAGCAAAACTGCATTAACAATAATAGTGACATCCTTCGTAATGTAACGGTATGCGTTTCGTCTTCGTGATAATCACATTGAAATTTCAGTAGTAGGATGAAGATGCGTACTCTCCGTAGAGTTCGTGTTTTGTGAAGATTGTCAGTACTATTAGGTCTCGCCGTCGTCTTTCCATTATCGGTAATAGTATTGGTAGCATTACTCTTATGCGCCGTCGTATTATTAAAAGTCGCATGCGTAGTGGCGTACACCTGATTCGTATGAGTATGATGAGTCTGACGTTCGCAGCCATACTGGCAGTAGTAGTAGTAGTAGTAGTAGTAGTAGTAGTCGTAGTCGTAGTCGTAGTTGTAGTAATAGTAGGTAGTGGTAGCACCAGCAGCAGCAGTAGTAGTAGTAGCAGTAGTAGTAGTAGCAGCAGCAGGAGTAGTAGTTGCAGCAGCAGCAGTAGTAGTAGTAGTCGTAGTAGTCGTGGTACGAATAGTACTAGTAGTACTAGCAGTAGTATCAAGTAAGTATCATTAGTAGTGGTCGTAGTAGTAGTAGTAGTAGTAGTAGTAGTAGTAGTAGTAGTAGTAGTAGTAGTAGTAGTAGTAGTAGCAGTAGCAGTAGCAGTAGTAGTAGTAGTAGTAGTAGTAGTAGTGGTGGTGGTGGTGGTGGTAGTAGTAGTAGTAGTAGTAGTAGTAGTAGTAGTAGTAGTAAGAGTAGCAGCCGGCTGTGTAGCACGACTATTTTTGGTGAATAATAAGGATTGATCAGTTTGCGGTAGTAGTAGTAGTAGTAGTAGTAGTAGTAGTAGTCGTAGTAGTAGTAGTAGTAGTAGTAATAGTACGAGTAGTAGTAGTAGTAGTAGTAGTAGTAGTAGTAGTAGTAGTAGTCGTAGTAGTAGTAGTAGTAGTAGTAGTAGTGGTAGTAGTAGCAGTAGTAGTAGTAGTAGTAGTAGTAGTAGTGTTCTGATTCACACTGCTAGTGACAGCGTTAGTATTAGTAGTGACAGGCGTAGTGGTACTCTTAGTGTTCGTATCACGATTCGTCGTTGTCTTACTAGCATCAGTCGTCGTCTTAGCCGTCCTCGTACTACTACGTTTCTGCGTATCAGTACGGGTGTTCGTACGATTCGGAGTCTTAATCGTTGTGTTTTCGTTCGCCAGCGTGCCATTAAGAATGGCAATCATAGTACATCAAGTCATAATGTTCATGTTCGCCGTCCTCGTCTTGTTAGTATGATTCGCCATACTCGTGGTCTGAATATCAGTTTTAGTCGTCGTCACCTTCATAGCATGATGTTGGTATTCCTATCGTATCAGTAGTAATAGTAATGATGGTAGAAGTCCTCCTCCTCCTCAGCCTCCTCCTAAGTATTCCTCCTCCTCCTCATCATCCTCCTCCACCTCCTCCACCTCTTCCGCCGCCTCTGCCTCGGCCTCCGCCTCCGCCTCCGCTTACCCCAATGTCCTCATCTTCCTCCTCCTCCTCCTCCTCCTCATCATCATCATCATCATCATCATCATCATCCTCCTCTTCCGCCGCCTCCGCATCCCCCTCCACCTCCGCCTTCGCCTTCGCTTCCGCATCCACCTCCACCTCCGCCTCCCCCTCCGCATCCATGTCCGCCTCCGCTT